CATCCTGTCACCAGAAGAGAGGTTGACCGGCACAAACAAACCAGAATAGGGTTGCTCTGGCTGCAAGGGCTGGGGCCTTCCACGGGGGAGCTGGGGTCTGGGCGGCCATATCTCCTGTGAACCTCTGGGAGGCTGGGAGCCTGTGCCGACTCAGCACGGGGCTCTGCTCCTGTTCGGCCTCTCCTTGCTGAGTCAGTGGCCCTCTCACTTCCCCAGGGGTCCCTGGGGTCCCTCGGCGTCTCCATCGGCCCTCCCCGTCCATCTCTCCCATCGCCGCTCCTTCCCTCGCGCCTGCCCCGCACACCCTGCCCTGAGCTGGCTCAGGGTCTCAGCTGACCCGCGTGGCGCCCCAGGACTCCTAAAGCAGGCATCTGCTGGCAGAGGCTCTGGGGACAGCCAGGCCAGGGCTCAATCCTGCCTGTGTCCTGGGAGTTGTGCGGTGTGGAGCGTGGAGAAGCCCTGCAGACCTGGTGTCTGGGAGCAGGGAGCCAGAGGAGGCCAGAGGGGACTTTGAGGTTGTGGCTCCCAACAGTGGAACTTTGCCACGTACCCCGAGCCCGGCTGTCCTGGCCCAGGCCTCAATCCTGGTGGCCGTCACTTGGCATTTGTGACACTGTTGCACGAACTCTGATTGCCCCAGCCACCCTCAGAGGGCCTGGAGGGAGAGCTGGGTTTCGCTGGTCTGAGGGACCAGGGGGATCCCTGGGTGGCTGTGTGACCATCCTTTTGGCCCTGCTGGACAGCCTGGGCCTGGAGCCTGGATCTCAGTAGTTTAGCTGTTTTTGTGAAGGAAACAGTTTTTCTCACTGGTAGCTTTTTGGTCTTTGTGTGTGGGGGTTGATTTGTTTTTGGCAGTACTAGGGATTGAACGTAGGGCCTTCTCACTGAGCTACATCCATTCCTGACCTTTTAAAAAATTTTTTATTTGGAGGCAGGGTCTCACTAAGTCACCACACTGGGCCTGAACTGGAAGTCCTCCTGCCTCAACCTCCCAGAGTGCTGGGGTTACAGCCAGGTACCGCCACACCTGGGTAGGACTGGCTGGATTTAAGCAGACTGAACACCTGTCCAGAGCCTTACAGTCCTGACTGTGCAACAGGGATCAAGAGAGGGCCTGCCCTGTGTGTGTGTGCCGCAGTGTCCCTTCCTGACACTGGCAGTGCTGTAGACTGGGGCCTGGTGGCTCAGAGAGCTGGCACAGGAGGCCACCGTCAGCCCCGGGTCCCCACCCTCCCGAAACCCAGGACGGATGGAAGCAACGGAAGCCAGAAGCTGCCAAGAGAGAACGAGAGACGCGACATCCACAGGCCTGGGAAATTTAACAGTGAAAACCGAGAGGGGCAGAGGGGAGATGAAAGTGCAGGAATGTGAAAAGCAGATCAAATAAACACAGACGCATGAAACGTGGACAGCGAGCGGCAGGGCCTGGCAGAGGCGACTGGCATTGAGCAGGCGAGTGCGGGCAGCCCCTGAGGGGCAGAGGCAGAGGTCGCCAATTGGGGCAGTAAAGAGAGAGGCAGAGGACGGGCAGCGGGGTCTGTCGTGCAGGACCAGCGGAGGGTGGCGCCCAGGAGCCAGGCATCAGGCGGGGCCTGGCGCTCTGGCACCGTGCCCAGGTCCTGCCTGCAGAGGGCGAGTGGGTCCTTTTCCCTGGTGCCAAACGGAAGCCCCAGGAGAGGGCTGAGGTGCGAGGCACCAAATGTCCCAGTGGGCACGAGGCTCTGTAGAACAGGCCATCACTCTGCCCGCAGGCCGAGTTCTGCAGAGGACCCTCAGTCAGGTTTTGTGTGGTAGGGGGGCAAACCAAGGGGTCTGGGGCCTCTCCACTCAGGAGGGCTGGGCAGGCCATGCCTCTTCCCTAGCCTCAGTCTTCCCTGCTGTTGAATGGGTGTCACCATTCCCCATAGACTGCTCTCCCAATTTTCCAGCCACCGTCGCTGGGGGTGTGGTTGGGGCCCTGGCTTTGTGGGAGGGAGCTTTTGTAGTCTCAGACATTATCAGAGGTTCAGAAGGTTGGGCTGATGCACTGGGAACCTGCCGTCCCCATGTGAGGTGGTGGAAGGGACCAAGGCTGTCCAGCGGAAGAGTCTGCCTTGGTCCCTGTGGTGTCTGGGCAGGAGCCACATGTAGAGCCCCTAACAGCCAGGCAAGAGGGTCCCCAGGGTCAGTGCTTTCAGGGGACAGAAACCCACGTCCTGGGAGCTGGAGGGGAGGGGAGCCTGGGACAGGGACTCCCAGGGCCTGAGGCACAGTGACCTAGTCACCCACTCCAGAACATCACAGGAACAGTCCCCAGGTGGCGTGGGTGTTTGCTTTTTACTCGGAAAGGGGCATGAGGCGTGGCCCACACCAGTCAACCCGACTCTGCCTCCTGGCTGGGCAATGCCCTGCCCACTCTGCCTCCACCTGGGGGACCCAAGGGAGGATACTTTCAGGGACCCCTGACTCGGTGGCCTTGGACCCCAGACCCAGAACTGAAGGCAGGGGGGGCAGTGGGGTGGGCCTGTTCTACCATTCAAGGCTCATACAACCCCCCCCAGTTCTGGGGATTGAACTCAGAACCTTTGCACACGGATACTTCCCCCAAGTCTTTTTATTTTCTATTTTGAGACAAGGTGTCACTAAGTTGCCAAGCTGTTCAAGCCGGGCTCCAGCTTGAGATCCTTCCACCTCGGCCTCTCAGAGTGCGGGGTTAGGACAGGTTTCTTGAGGAAGTGCCTCTGCGCGGGCCACACGGCCTGAAGTCCGGCCTCCTCTGGGCCAAGCTCTTCCCTATCTTCTCCTCCTCTTCCTCCTCCGGCCCTTGGGTCCCCGCATTTCTGCAGCAGCTTTCTCCTCCGCCCGAGTTTCTCTATGAGTGCGGGACGCCCTGCGCTCTCGGTGCCTCTACTGGCCTGCCTGCAAGTCTTCCCTCAGTCTCCCGCAAATGATCGCCCAGGCCGGCAGCTCGAGAGGCACACACGAGCGCGCGCGCGTGTACACACACACACACACACACACATGCGCGCGCACAGACACTCTCCCTCCTTTCTCCCTGCCTCTGCTCACTCACCAGAGCTCAGCGCCTGCGTCCTCCTCTCTCGGTAACCTGCACTCAACCTGTGGAATTGTCACCTCCTCCAGGAAGCCCTCCTTGGCCTTCTGCGCAGGCTGAGGCAGGGGCCCGGGTCATTCCTAGCTCCTCCCGCGACTGTTCACGACCTGTTCCAGAAGCTGGCACGCGGGGAAGGCCGGCTGAACCTCTCCAGGTCCCTCGCGCCCCGCGCACTCCCGCTCCAGGCGCGCCCAGCCGGGTTCCGAGGTCTCCCCCAAACCCTGGGTGTGTTCCGGGGAGCCCCGTCCGGCCGCCCCTGGGTCAGGGTGCTGTGCGCCCCAGGCCGGAACCCCGGTTGCCCGCAGCGGGGGTGACCGAGCCCCCTGGCTGTGCCGCCGCAGCGCGCTCTGGGCAGGGCGAGCTCCGCGGGGCCGGCGTCTGCGCCCCGGCCGCTTGGGAGGCTCCTCACGTCCAGGCCCGCGGTCACGGCCGCGCAGCTTCCGGCCATGAATTGGGCTTCACAGCCCGCGGCTCCCGCCCGGCTCCACTGAGTGCGCCGCCTGCGGCGGGGGATGGGCGCGCGGGG